ATGGCAAAAAGTCTGGAAATTTCAATAAGACGGTAGGAAGGATGTGAGAAGGGGTCGTACTGAAGGAGGAACCTTCGCAATTTGCAAAATTTTCCTCAACGCAAGGATGTGTTCTGTACATAATCTTCGCGTGACGCTTGATCTCGGGGTGAACACCCGGGGCCTTCAGAGAGCTTGTGAAAACTTCCAGATTCCTGTGACCAAAACGGCCCACTCGCGTTATTTCGTAGCTTCACAAGAATATATCTGTTTTTAACATGAACTAACAAAAGGAACAGGTGGAAGTGCAAAATGCCCCTCTAAGTCGGACAGCGCCTAAGACGCGACCTCTGGCCAGAGATCAATGTTACCATCAATACAAGCCCCACCAACGGAGAAACCCAGACAAAATTCAACAACGGGAAAAAAATTGAGACTTCCCCAAAAATAAATGGGTGAAATATCGCTCCCCGCCCCTTCCCTGAAAGGAGTTACATCTATGATATGCCATGAACAAAGCTTATTATACCAACCTGCACTTGCAGCTTCCATCAAAGCACAATGTCCATTTTCATTGCGTAAGTCCAAATTACACTTGTAATCGATGAGCATTCGTACAACCTACACACAGAAGACACTGCTTAGTATAACACACGTCCCAGCATATGGGGTTTCAAGTCACACTTTATAAAACTCACCTTTTCTTGTCCGGCAGCAGCAGCGTAGATCAAAGGAGTGTTTTGAGTGATGGAGTACGCATTCATGTCAGCACCAAGATCGAGAAGGCATTTGACACTACGTACATTGCCAGCTGCACACGCTTCCATCAATGGGGTACAGTCTTGTTCAGTGGCGAAGTTCGTTGAACCACGAATGCGCACCAGCATAGCGAGCAAATCGGCCAACTGGAAATATACACTGATTTCGTGTACAGAAGAAACGGATCGTTAAATTCTCGCAAAACCTAGACCTTATTGTAAACCCTTTACGGAGAACTAGGAATTCCTCAATTGCCAGGGACCGTTGTATACTGCCTAGTTCAGAAGCAGTTGGCACGATAAGTCCCTAAGACGGGTAGGATTTTTACGCCAGGCAGAAAGGAAATGCGCGCCCTTGAGCAGGCGCCGCGTAGCGCCTTTTCCAAGGAATGACTCTCATATTTCCTTGTAAAGCTGCAACTTATCAAACCGGGCGCCCACTGCGCTTGCCCGCCCACAAGTGGACGACCGTACCTGATGCTCGTACTGCCACACTTCCGAAGTAAAATGTGAAGCGAAGGGGTTGACATGAAGCGAAATTGCATTCTCAGTCGTGTAGAACAGAAGCTTTTTCGCAGATTTCCGATCGCTTCATTTTGCTTTTTCGCCAGTTTCCCACTACTTAGCAGCGCTGCTACCATTTTAGACTGAGTTCCAAATTATCGTGCCATATGCCGTTGAATTATACAATGATCTGATCTGTCGCTTTTATAGTTTGATATACTGTAAGCTATCAGGCCATATTTACGAATTTGAGTAGACTGAGTCGTAAAAAGTGCTCTCCCCTTTCTGCGACCTATGTCCCCTCCACTTGTAAAACTATCAGGAGCAAGCGGAACTTCGTGAAAAACAGATTACTAAAAGTTTCGATGAGCCATTATAGGTAGTTTTCAATGTACAGACGCTGGTGTGTCAGGTGGATGGATCTGGCGCAGAACCACACCGTTCTCCACCAATCATTGTCACTTGCCAGCGTGTTGCGCCAAATCCAGCCAACCGCAATATGCCCCAGCGAAATGAATATACACACTGGCACATAATTTTGAAAGCAGTCGAGGAACTTACTCCAGCAGCACTTGCAAGGAGAATAAGACCATCCAAATTTGCACCATTTCGAGCGTCTTCATCCACTATGGGATCACCACGATGATCGATGTCAGTCTGGGAGGGTCCATCTTGCGCAGCAGCCATCAGGCCTTCGACAGCACGAGTGGGTGGTTTACTGCAAATATAATTGTAATCGTCTCGATTGAGAATGACACTAAAGCTGCGTTCATACTTCGCGTCAATTTTGAGCGTACGGTAGCATTTTGAGCTAGGAATCTGCAGGTATCGATCTAGCGTACGCCAGCGTTTTCTGCCTTACGCAGAAACCTAGATCGATAACCATACTTTCCTGGTAGCTCAAAATGCTGACGCACTATATGAACGCGCCATAATTTATTCCTTACCGTAATCCAGCAGCAGCGTAGAGGTTGAGGGCATTGACAAGCATGTCCACGGAAACTTGGCCACTATGTTCACGAAGATACTCGTCAATTGCTTCAGGTGATCGTCCTACTAACTCGGGGAGCACGGATATTTCAGGCGTTTGCATTTCATCACATAAAGCCTCAAATGCTTGATCCATACGGTCTCGCATGGTGGAATTTTCGATATGCAGTGGTCTCTGGAAATATGTGGGTGGTTCATTCTAGAATCGTTTTCTGAAAGCTAAAGAAATCACCTCAACATCGGTGGTCGACACACGGCCAGCCATCTCAGTCGGGGTGAGCGATTCAGTGGTTGGCGGTGTGCCAAAGACACACAGGGAAAGATAGTTTTGTAGGCACGTGTAGAGCTGAAAATCGCCATTTCACCATAAAATACCAAAGGTACAAGAAAGGTTATGATGATGATGATGATGATGAAAAAACTCACCCTAACACTATTCTCGTACAGGATTTGATAGAGTTCCATTTGTCCTTTCGGATCAACACGGGTCATATCAGGGAGCAGATGAACGAAACTGGTGAGTTCCGGAATCACACGACCACCGCTATTCATGTTGGCGGCGGTGCGGGAATAGTTGGCCTTTACCTTCACTCTCTTGCTTTTTGGGACACATGGAGAGTTTCCCATAAGGAACGGAGAGGGGGAAGCGGCCGTAACCGTACAGGTAGCGGAACGCTGCAACAAAGAACAATGCATTAATTATGTTCGAGACAAAATATTATTATGGATAATTTGAACAACACAAGAATTCAAACTTACGGAGTTGGTCGTAGGGGAGCTCGATTGGGAACGTTTCCCAAGGCGAGCGCGAGTCACGCCGCCTTTCTCGTTGTTAGCCGCTTCATGGGATTCCAGAAGGGGGACACCGAGACGTTCGGCAAGCTAAACGCATCTTGCATGAGATCGTCACACATCTAATGAAATCTATGTAAAGGACATTCTCGACTTGGACTTCTTGCAAACGATATATTTTATCTTCCTAAGTTGTTAAATAGTAATTGCCTAATTTCATCCTTCTTAATCTACAAAGCAGACAAATCCGGCGCAGCGCTCTCTCAGATAGAAAACTGTAACTGAGACCCGCTAATCGACAACCGAACTAACTTTTTAGTTGTTGCTATCATAATTTTCGCCAAACTCATATAGATAGACCAACAGGTTAGATGTGCCAGCCCAACTGGCCACACCTGATGACTCCGCCCACTTCTCTGTTGAACTTCTTTGCTAGTCATGAGTATCTAGTCAATCTACAATCAGAAGATTCTATCACTCATGGTGGCGCTACTAACCTTGACGGACACCTAAAGGCTCTTTCCGCACTACCGGGATTCCCGCACCGAAGATGACGATATCTGCCTACCCAAACAGGACGAATTTCAGCGAGGGGGAGGTCGGATTTGGTCGCAGAAGGGAGCGGGGCGCAATTGCCCTTGTAATTTTCGCTTATTGACTTTTCACTGTTTTTCCTGTTTCGAGGGTGTCCCTCCCGTGACGCTCGACGAAGCAGGGCACATAATCGTTGGGGACTCCCCAACAGGTGCGGCTTGTATCTCGTCGCGGGGAAGGGGGTCGTATTTGTTCTGAAGGATTTTTTGATAATTGATTTTTGATTCACGGACGCTCTGCGTATTTATCGTTGTTGGGAAGAGAGGGACTCTATTTGCCTTTGTGGTTTTGGGAAATGGGATTTTCCTGGTTGTGGTGTTTTCCTGTTTCATATTTGCTACATACTGTTGGAAAATTTTGGAGAAACTGGCAAGAAATTAGGGGGAATCTGAGAAAGTGGTAGGTAAAATGGGAGGAGGTGGTCGCAATTTCCTCGCGACTAGCAATTTTCCCCGTTTCAGGTGCACAATATATATCCCCCCCAACCGCTCGTGAAGAGGGAGTTGGGGGGAGGGGGGAGTAGTACGGACGACGGACGCGATCGAAAACTCCGAAAGGTGAAAGGTTAGAATGGGGAGGGCTATGGTACCAGAAAGTTTTGAGGGGTGGGGTGTGTCAGGAATTGATGAGCCACTTCAAAGGACAGCATCTAAGTTTGGATTGCGCTATTCCCATTTTGGTGCTGGGAATCTTTCTTTAAATTCAGTAAAAAGGTACTTTATTTATATACGCTATTAAGATAGCGACATGTGAGTGGGATATGGAGGAAGCCATCTCGCACATTTCAAGACAGCTCGGATGCGAGTAATATGTAATAGTCAAAGTATTGACACGATGTAGTAAAATAGAATGTGGTAGTAGTTATTTGTACTTGTGAACGCTCAGGTGAAAATATGAAATATGGATTGAATTCCGGTCAGACCCCTTCACACCTCGACGAAGCGCTACGGGATATCTGTCAATCGCGAAGCTTCTCTCTCCGTCTTTTTCTTCTTCCTCCTCCCTTCCTTCTTCGTAATCCTCCTCCCTTCAAATGCTCGGCCACCAGATACTATGCAGAAGACACCTCTGGATCCTCGCGGTGAGAGGAAGTCTGGTTTACAGAAACCCGTAACTTCGACAGGGTGACATGGATCCTATTTTGGCTTTCGATAGGGGTCCTCTTTGGTCTTATGAACCTTTAATAATAGATTTTTGCGTTTTGAGCGCAAGATGAACCACTCTAGTCACAATTCACTGTATTTGGTAGTTGATCGGAAGCTTGTACCCTTTCGGCAGATATCGGGAGAGGGGGGGGGTGTTTTAAAAACATTCTCATCGCAATGGTGTGCACGGGTTCACTTAATTCTGCATTTTCACTGGTCCAACGCTAAATGTTTGCGTACCATCGAACGGTTTCCTATCTTCTCGAAAGATCTATCGAAATTTATAGAAACGTCTCTTTCCCTTCAAAAACACTTTGCCATTTTTTGCATGGATGTGGTCCGTTTCTCAATGAAATCGTACAGAAATATCTCTTATAGTAACGCTGATCTTTTCCACCGCGCTCTCCCATCGTAAACGACGTGTCTAGTCGTCGACACCGACTGATAGAGAGCCAAAGATCAAGTCACATGCACGATAGTGGAAGTTGGAAAACAGAGAAATCACGGGAATTACGACGATACGCTTTGTAAGCTTTAGGAATCATGCTAAGGGACCTTGGTACTGTTCCTCTCAAGGGATGGGGGGGGGGGGCACTGTACACTTTTGCTAGGTCCCTTTTTTGGTTCATGTGAACTAACAATTCCCACTTTGGTCAGACCTGTGGAATCCCGTGAAGCTGCGAAATTTTTCAAGTGAGCCACTTTGGTCACGAATTCACACATCTTCACAATATGGTCTGTAAAAGCTCAGCAAAGTACCATTTGGTGCCGCCCCCCCCCAAGCAGAACTTTATGAGAAGGAAGAAATTGAAAAAAAAATTCACGGACACAACACTATTTTCTAGATCACGAGTTCCTGAGAACTGGAAACGGTCAGTCCAAACGGATCCGAGGGAAGCTCTGAGAAAACTCAAAACTTAATCGATATTTGATCTCCAAGCCGGTTTCATTGAGAAGCAAATCCGAAGCTTTTCGCTTCTCATAAAATAAGAAAGAACTGGTCGTGAACCTGTCCACACTCAACCTAACCCCACATCTATCTCGTAAAAAATAAAAAATGAAACGAAACATAGTAAAGAAGATCTGCAAGAAAAGTTTGTGAATAAAACCACCAAGCAAAAGATTTTTTAGGGAAAAACGATGTAATTAACACATTACGGATCGCCATTCTGCGAGATCTTGGCATTATTTCGTCACCTTTCCCATTAGAAATCTACAATGTCAACGTTTTTTCACTTTCGTTGGAGATTTGAGTGCTCCGTGTCTAATTCTAGAACATACAATGATGCCAAACAGACCACATAAAGTGCAGGGAGAAAAACATATGACACACCATGTGTGTCACGTGGTTCGGAAAGTGTTAAATAAGCTCAACGAAGAAATAAATTGCCCAGCTCCGCTCTTCTTTCGAAAAATGCAAAAGAAATAGAAAAGAATAGTATTGCAGTTCAAAGCTACCTCGTCATCAACAGATGCAACGGGGACATTCTCATCTTCCGCCATCGGAAATCGTAGTTCGTCCGAGTAGACCGTGTTTGTTTCTGAAGGAGAACAGAGAATTACTAGATTAATTGTCAAAAATCAAAAGTTGTAGGGGAAAGCATGAGATATTATGATCAGCGAGAAAGTTGCAGTTTCAGACGCATTCCACAGTTCCAAAGACAGTCACTGACAGATATCCTGAAACGTGCTCCGAGAAGGCTCAGGTTCAGAAAGCAGACGACCTGTGTCGTTGAG